GTGTTATTACTATTGTCTCTTTGCTTTTTTTAAATGGTCTAAAAACATTTTTCTGAAAACAGAACACATGCTTTTTGTTGACAACTTTAAATTAAACGATAATGGTCTAAAAAACATTTTTCTGAAAATAATAATAATCTGAGAACACATGCTTTTTTGTTGACAACTTTAAATTAAACGAACTCTTGAGGTTAATGAAGTGTTGCCCTCTGTCCACTAGAATCCACCCTGCATCTGGTTCTGCGTCTGCGTGGTGGTATCATTGAGCCATCCCTCAGACAGCTGGCCCAGAAATACAACTGCGACAAGATGATCTGCCGCAAGTAAGTCCACTCCTGCAGTTACTTTTATCTGTCGTACATCGTTCATGTCCAGTGTTTTTGTCTTAATCAGACAAGTACAAGTAATGAAATATGCAGAAGAATTTAAAGAAATTGACAATGTTTTCTGTCCTCAAAGGCTCCTTATATGTATGTGACAAAACAGTTGTCCATAGAACATGTTAATAATATGTGATACGTGGGCGGCTCTTCGTATTAAACCTAAACTTGTCACTGTCAAACCATAAACCATCATTTGTTAGTTATTAACTTCGGCAAAGATTTTCCTTGTCATTAATCCAACGTTTTTTGTAATGCAGGTGCTACGCACGTCTGCACCCACGTGCTGTCAACTGTCGCAAGAAGAAGTGTGGACACACCAACAACCTTCGCCCCAAGAAGAAGCTGAAGTAGACGAGGGGTCTAATTGGGCTTTTTATGCCTTTTGTGTTAGAATAAATCTAAGAAAATGAAACTGTTTGTTGTGTTTTTATTAATGTCCTTCAGAAGAAAAAGTTGAGAATATATTCTTTAGATTGAACCGTTATCCAATCTCGCGTTTATTCTCAGTACGGGTAATTTATTTACAAGAAAAAACGTTGTCTCGTAATTCTGCCAAGAACTCCTGTTACTGTTCACCAGAAAAAGATGCTTCAAGAGTTTGGCAAGTAATTCTAACAGACAGTGATTTCATAAAGCTGGTTGACCATATTATCCAGTAAACTGATCCCCTGTTAAATGAACTGCTTCAGGTGACTCATTAAGAATGACTTCAGAATTTGTTTGACCTCGGTCTTTAATAAGTTTCAGGGAGTGTAAGGGTCACAACGATCTTAAATCTGTCCTGTCTGTCCCTAAAAGCTGCAGATGTGAAGCTGTAATTTGTCACAACATTTACTTCCTTCAGCTGCTGCTTTTACTTTCAAAAAGCTCTCACTTGAGCACAGTAGAGATGGACAGATGGAATTGTTCTATGATTGCTGACAAAGTTGTTTTTTACTGGCAAAATGTTTAAACTTTTGTGAACTCAGTGTTTTTAAGCTCAATGCTAAAGCAACGGCAAAATTTGGAGTTTGATAAAACAAGATTATTTTAAATATATTATTTTACTTTCTCACATTCAAAGTCATTAAAACAAGATCATTTTAAATATATTCTAATTTTACTTTCTCACATTCAAAGTCAAATCTTATTCTTGTGGCAAATAAATTCAAACCTTCGGTACTTGTGGTTGTCAAACTATCATATGCCCCCACTGGTGGTACTTAGGTGGCCTCCAGGTGTTAGTGGGGGAATCTTCTAATATCCTACAGGGTTATGTGGATCTGGAATTTTAGTGCCATGACATAGTAGAGCGGGCCTTTGGTCGATGATCTTTTTTAGAAATGGTCTTTTTCAAATGTGCTGGTCATATGATTTGAGACCCTTCCAAATATAATCTCATGTTACTTGTTACTCACTTTTTTTTTCAAAACATTTATTACATTTAGTAAAAACCAAACTTCCAACAAATTAATTCCAAGCTGTGGTGATGGTTCTCAAACTAAAGTATGCATCCCAGTAGTGGTACTTTGGCTGCCTCTAGTGGTACGTGGGTGGACCTGATATTCTTGTAGTATTAATTGTGTCTCATGCTCTTTAACACAGCGGTCACACATCTCTCTTTCTCTCTCTCTCTCTCTGTGTGTGTGTGTGTGTGTGGTTTCAGAATTGAAGCGTCAGTTGTAGTATTTCATTTTATTGAACATTCTTCCTGATTATCTTTTTTTAGAAATAAATTCTATTCATTCAATGCCTGTCTTAGCAGAACACCGTGTCCCTGTGCGCCTGTAATTAAATGCTGGTTGTACTGGTGGTACATTCAGTGCCAAACTGTTTCAGAGGTGGTACGCAGTGTGAATAATTTAAGAAAAAAAAAAAACTCCTTTAGAGATTGGAAATCTCCAAGTGAAGATGTCGTTTTCTTTGTTTGTTATTTTGTTGTATATGCGTAACTTCTTAATTAAAACACTTTGTTCAGAGCTTGGAGAACTTGTTCAGCTTCACCCGATGGCACCACTTGGTCAGTGTCTGAAGACAGGACGTAGAATGTTGATAATAACAGGTGTTAATTAAAAAATGACACTGACAAGGGAACGACGTCTCTGCTGAAAACTTTATTGCTGATTCAGTGATGCGTTCAAGTAAAACCTAATGACCAAATACCAGACAAAATAACCTTGGACAGAAGTCGTTGTGGTTGTAATTTACACCAGTGAAATGCAGTGAAATAATAAAAATAATAAAATCTCAACTAAAACAGTGGTGCAGTAGCACAGTCATGGTTCGTCACAAGATCTAGTGTAAACAAATGTCAGAGGGTTAGGGAAAAGCACACACTTTTGAAGTCATAGTCCCAGATACAGACAGATTTTATTATGACTTTAGTATGAATTTGACATGTTTACATCATTCGGACAACTCCGGCTCAGGAGTTGCTAGAAACGTTTTGTACCTAAATTAGTGTTATGTGATAAAGTCCGGAGTTAGAAGCAAAGGTCGGTAGCAGTTGCGTGTATTAGGTATAACACACCGAGTATTCAGACAAACAAGTCGGCGTCTGCCAAAACTGCTGCAGTTGTGCTTTTCAACTTTGAGCAGTCTGAGGTAGCACACTGCTAATGAACAGAGAGAGGTGAGGGAGAGAGGAGGGGGAGAGAGAGGGGGAGATATTTAATCCAGGGCTTCTGCAGAGCTCATGCAGTACTTATCTAAGCTCCTCAGCTTCTCGTGGCCTTGTGCTAAAGCTCGTGTTGCTAAATAAAGTACAAGTAGAAATATATAGCACACACGTACAAAACAAATTGTAAACATTTAAAAAAAAAAGAGAGACTGCGTTGAAAACATCATCAGGTATAATCTCTGGTGTGACTCGTCAACATCAGGGTGAAAAAGCAGCGCGGTTTTGTGTGAGCACGGAGCACAGCCTGCAGGTCCAACACCGTCTGAGGCGTTACACTCCTCCTTCTTTGCCACTGCAGCCTGACTGTTACCATGCAGACAGCAAACAGCTATGAAACAGTGTGAACAGCAGTTCAACCTACGTAGTGTGGCGTACAAGTGTCATGGGCCGTGAGCCAGTGCCTGACCACTTTCCCACTTACTAGTTGCACCAAGTATGGTAGAAATTGAAAAAAAAAAGTAAATGGAAATGAAGTTGCACCAAGTATGGTAGCAGTTGAAAAAAAAAGTGGTTGGTTTCTTGATGAAACCAAGTCAAGTCCAGACGAGGCTTCCTCCTCGTGTCCGTAGTTTGACGATAACCACCAGTGGCTGCTTCCTGTTCTGTCGCTCACTGCTCACGTCGTTTAAACACGTGCTCTTACACAACAACCGAATTAAACGCACAGAGGAGTTACTCTTAACCAACTAGTTAGTTCATGTTGCAGAGCACTTGTGATGATATTCTGGGTACACTAAGAGGTACCCAGAGTTTAACAGTCTGCCCCCTGGTGTTTGTTTTGTAACAGCTGGGCTGTGTTGGACCAAAGATTTTCCTCCGTGTTTTCGAGGGACAGCACTGACTGTTGAATACTGCTGTATCTCTGTCTTCTATGAAAGAAACTGCAGAACAAATGTGATGTTAAGTGAGAGAAAAACAATCGTCCTTATGGCACATGAGTCAACGAGGGCTGTGCTTTGGAGAGCTGGTTGACTCAGAAATAAAAACATGTCGTGACTGAAGTGCAGCAGTTGATGTTGAACAGAAGTCGTCTACATTCACGCTCCTATAAGTCCACGTGTCTTTGTCCTGACACAACTCCTCCGGCTGCATCTCCACAGTCGCCACAGCCATGAATCAACATTGAGTTGCTGTTCACGGAAATGGTTTAAGATGTAGATTTGTTTTTGTCCATGACTCATTTTTTGGATTTAATTTTACAAACAGAAACAGAAAAACCCCTGTTATGTTGAAAAATGTTCAATACTCAAACCCTTGTTATGTTGAAAAATGTTCAATACTCATACTACAAACAAAATTGAACAAATAGTAATGTTAAGACATTCACTAGTAAAACTTTCTAAACATTCCTTCTCCTACACATCTATTCTTTCTCAATCAAATTTAAATTTAATTTAATACATTTTTAATTTAAATTTAAAACATTTTTCCTTCTACTTTGTTTAGTTCCAGCAGTTCTTGATCTGCATTAATCCAAGACAGTCCGTCATAAGGAATAAAATACAAAATTAATAGAAATACATTAAAAATAACATATACGTGAATTTTGGTAAAACAGTTCATTCTCACTGATTCTCGCGTTTAGTGTTTTTTTAATATTTCGTTTGATAAATCACAACATAATTTACAACAACCTTTATTATAATTTTCTAAACTGCAATAGCATCAAAGGAAGGAGGGGGGCAGTGTTCTGCCAATAACGTGTTCTAAGTGATCTCTGGTAACTGCAGGTGAAAACAGGGCCGTGTCGTCTGAAAAATTGATCCAAAAACATCCAATGTTTGAGAAAATATTCTGTTACTTTATGCACAATTTTTGTGTGAGTAAAAATATTTGTGAATGGCTTCAAAAATCAGAGGCTCAGGTGAAAAGTACAGTGAACGGGCGTGTTCAGTCGGATGTTTCAACTATTGTAACATTTAAAAAAAACAAAAAACAAAACTAAGCAGATCCAGAAAGTTCTTTGCGAGGATTCGATTCTCCCTCTTTTATTAAAGCAGTAAAACAACACAAACCAGATTCACACAGAGGAGCCCAAGCTCTGACTGTGGAGATGCAGCCCCCCCCCTCCCCCCTTTCTGCTCACGTTATTTATCGACAAGCTTTGCTAAGTTCTGTCTCAGGTCCTTCAGGTCGCAGATTTTCACGTCCAGGACCTTGATGATACGTTGGACCTCCACCTCGGCCTGCTCCCGCTCCTCACGGTTGGAGGCCAGTGTGGTTTCGGTGCTCTGTACCCGCTCCTCCAGCTCGGCATTTCTCCTCTCCACGTCCTGCAAACGGGATACATGTCTCTTTTAGTAAACGTTCAATTACGGGTTGACATTTTCTTCCCATTTCTTTCATGTCGTCATGGGCGTCCACAGTTTTTTATTCCTCAAAAAACACAGTTTTACAAAACTGCATGTCGTGGAGCACCAGATGTCAAACCAGAGGACGGTAATTTCCTCCTCTCTAGCCGTCTCTGCTGACGAATATTCAGTGATAATAACAGTTGTAGTGGAACAGACGACTGGCAGTGAAGCACCTGGGCTTTGTAAAGTGCTTTTATTCCGTCTGTCAGGCGTCTGTGTCTGGAGGTGGGCTGAGCAGAACTGATAGTACTGAGAAGTACTGATAGTACTGAGGAGTACTGATAGTACTGAGGAGTATTTGTTCTGATAAGAAGTTCTCCAGGCTCCAGCTCTGACTCTCTGTGACCGTGACTCATGGACTGAACAGCTAACAGTCCTGTCAGCTCTGAATGTCGTGGACGTTTTTGGGTGATTTAAAAATTTAGTGAAAAAAAAGTTCATGTTTGAATTTAATACAGAGTTTCTGATAAAAATAAATTACTTAAAAATTTAAAAAATTTCAACTCATTATTTTCAAACTATTTGCAATAAAAAATAATAAAAACTCATTATTTTCAAACTATTTGCAATGAAAAACTAATTATAGAAAAAAAAACTATTATTAAATAATTATCAGTCTTTAACTATTACTGCAGTACTGCAAACTTCAGCGTTGCAGTAACGTTGTTGTATATTCCAGACACTCAGATTAGAGAGCGACTGCTCCGACAGCAGAGGTCAAATATGAAAATAGACCTCCACTAAGAACGATGGAGGAGCTGATCAAGGCCGTGGAATATGTATCAGGTAAATTCTCCTGCATTAACATAATAAAATCCAACACCATTTGTTTCCTCCTCTGCAGCAGTGCTGCCGATCTGAGCCACAAGGGACGAGAGGAAAAATCATTTTTCTGTTCACACGGAAGATGAAACTTTGGCTTTTAGTCCTCTCTTTGTCAGTGGAATTTTCTCTGACTTGAAGTAAACTCTCAAGTCACAATAAAAATGTCAGGGAGAGAAAACGGATTTGTTCAACACAGGTTGAGTGTAAGTGTTTTAACATCATGATAGAGGTAGAGGCTCACATCTTTACATCTGGATCACTCACTGTTTTCCTTCCACTCTAACATGAATAGAAGAGTTCTTATTATCACCTTCTTCAAGGACAAGTGGTTTTTACACAGCGACTGGAGTACATTGATTCTTGTAATTATAAAGTATGACTTTAAATAAGTAGATTCATACACCAGAAGAGTTGTGGTCTGCATCCTGTTGAGACTGGGCTGAGACATTAAGGAGAAAAAAATAAAAAGGGAATGATCTCACCTGGAGGCGCTGTATGACATCTTCTCTCTCCTTCTCTAACTTGCCCACGTCTGTTTTCTTGCTTTGTAAATTCTGAATTTCCTGAAAATACAGTCATTTCACATCGTTTTAGTAGCATCCTAACCCTAACCCTGGTCATTCATTTCTACTGAATGACTTCCAGTCCATGCTGAGCCGTGGCTCCAGAAAGGTCCGATCATCCATCACCTGAAGGACGCCGTGGTGTTTCTGAGGTTCTGTGCCTCCAGAGAAACAAACGGTCGTCCTGCTGCTAAAAGCAGCGCTGCTTTAAAGTGATGGGACAGTCGGGCTTATGTAAATGAGCGTGGAGGACAGTGGCAGCAGCAGCAGCAGCAGCAGCAACTGCCCTCCCTGTATAAATCACTTTTATATCCTGTTTTTTTTTTCAG